ATTAAAGATAAACAAAATTATTTGTTAGTACCATTTTTATATATTTTTTTCCCTTTTGCATCCTGAGTATAAAGAAAAAAACTGGGCATTGAGAGCATCCAAAGCCGGCCTATTTTCTCTTCGGAAACTTTTCACACCCAACCCCCGCCACCCCCTCTTTTTCCCTCCTTACAATCATGTCGGACTATTTTCCCCGAGAATTGCTGGTTGAAATCGTCTCCAGACTCCCCGTGAAATCCCTCCTACGATTCAGGTGCGTATCCAAATCATGGCGTTCCTTGATCTCCTCTTCCAGTTTCATCACCACCCACCTCAGTCACTTCACCACCACCCACCACCACCTCCTCATCAAGCATTTTTCCCTCTCTTCCAACCAAGAAAACTACTCTCTCTACCCGGACACCTCAGCCCCCACCTTCCACCACCAACCTCTAAGCCTCAAATGCCCATTCAAAACCAAATCAAACACCTTCTTCAGGCTGGTTTCAACCACCCACGGCTTGCTCTGTCTCTCCGATGACCATTTTGGCTACACCTCCACTCTCATCCTATGGAACCCTTCACTCCGAAAATACGTTACCCTCCCTCAACCTCGTATCTGCTACGATTCCTACGGTCCTTACATGTTCGCTCTGGGTTGCGGTTTCGACACCAACACCAACGACTACAAGGTGGTTCGAATCGCTTATGTGCAGCACAGACCGGATTCTTGGGAACCCAATTCTGGTATTAGCCCTCAAGAGGGTTACCTTGTTCCTCCTCAAGTCGAGGTGTTTTCTCTCAGAAACAATTCATGGAAACCCATAACCTCAAATATTCCACAACATCGTATGGTTGAGTATTTTTGGTCCTCTGTTTTTGTTAATGGGGCGATTCATTGGCTTGGGTATTGTCTGAAAAAGCAAGAAGGCCAGAGTTATAGCAATGTGATAATTGGGTTTGATGTGGGTGGTGAGATTTTTAAGGATTTGAGTCTTCCAAAGATGTTGGTAGATGAGTACCCACTGAATTTATCAATTTCGGTATGTGGGGAAATGATAACAGTGTTTCAATACGACAGTTGGCCCAAGAGTCAGAGGTGTTGTGTGTGGGTTATGAAAGAGTACGGTGTCGTGGAGTCTTGGAGCAAGCAATTTACAGTCGAGTTAAGCAATATATATGCTGTTCTTGGGTTTAGAAGGAATGGTGAAGTGTTGATCGCTAAAAGTGATGGAGAAGTAGTTTTGTATAACCCCAAGAGCAATGGAGTGGGGAAGATTGAGATTCGTGGTGGTAGAGACTCATTTTTTGTGGGGAATTTTGCTGAGAGCCTTGTTTTGCTGGATGGAGGAAAGCATGTAAATTGTTATGATGAGGAAGAAGAAGAAGCTGTTTTCAGGGGAGAAGATAGAGCCATGGTTGGTTTACTCGAACGTACTTCAAGTATGCATTATGCTTTTGCAGTTCATTTTCTCAACAACCCATATTGACTGTAATTCGTATTAATTTCCAATCCAAATTAAATTTTTTTTTTTNCTTGCTAAATGTGAATTTTTAGAATCTCATACTACTGCTTCAATGCAGATGAACAACAGATACATACATCACCAGCATAATGGCAAATGGTGAAGTCAGTCTGTGACAATTTAGGCTTGCTGAAGCGTTTATGATCTTTAAACGTCTGGTATAGCTTTTGTGAAAAAATTCGAATTTTCTTTGGAAGTCCTTAGATAAGCTCCATTTTTCAAATTTTCCTTCGTGTTGAGAAAATTTATTTTTGCCTAAAAAATTGATAAAAAAATCTGCCCATAAACCAGCGTCCAAACGGACCAAGTTTCTTTTTCTTTTAACTCAAACAAATTGAGATTTTAACCCAACTTCAAACAAGTTTATATAATCAACTCGCAATCCTGGTAAAATGATAAGGTTACATCAGGTTGTTTTATGACAAATTAGCATAAAACTTGTGGGATCTCTAAACGAAGATGAATGGTTTTGTTTGAAGTGATGGGTTGTGTTCTAAAACAAAAGGAAAACCACCAACTAAAGGTGTTTTGCACCTGGACAAGAGAAGGGCACTGGCATGATCGATCTTCTGTTGGTCTTTTTCAGTGGATTCTTTGGTGGGGGTGGTGACTGTGAGAGTCCTGTTTTGGTCTTTAGTCCCATTCAAACTTGTAAAAAGCTTGTTAGATTCTCTAGTCTGGTGGCACTCAGAAAATAAATAAATTCAATATAAAAGCAAGTAAAAAAAAATGGTCCTCTTCTGAGATCTCTCATCAAAGTGAAGAACAAAATAGGCTCTCTCTCTCTCTCTCTCTCTCTCTCNAAAAGCAAGTAAAAAAAAATGGTCCTCTTCTGAGATCTCTCATCAAAGTGAAGAACAAAATAGGCTCTCTCTCTCTCTCTCTCTCTCTCTCGGAGTGTGAGCTTAGAGGCCAAGACTTAGTCTAAAGTTTGTGAGATTCAAATTGGGACAACTTCCGAAAAGGGAAAATGAGAGAACTTTATTGCATGGGAGATGGTGTGAAAGGAACACTACAAAAAATAGCAACTTTAGTGGCAAGAAAATTTGTCACTAAAACTCTTAAATTACAAAAGTAGTTAGCAATGAAAAAAAAATTGCCACCAGGTTGTCATTATAGATGTGTCACTAAAAGTTAATAATGACAAGTTACATAAATTGTCACAAATGATCAAGATCTTTAGTGACGATTCTGTATCATCACTAAATCACTCTTAATAGTAACAAAATTTGTCGCCACTAATATTTTAAACTTTCATCACTAAAAAGTATATTTTCGTCACTTAAAAACTACTTTCAACCCAAAAAATAAAAACTAGTGTCAAAATATATTAACACTAATTAGTATCCATCAATCATTAGTGACGGAATNAACTTTCATCACTAAAAAGTATATTTCCGTCACTTAAAAACTATTTTCAGCCCAAAAAAAAAAATTAGTGTCAAAATATATAAACACTAATTAGTATCCATTAATCATTAGTGACGAAATATTTTGTTGTCACTAATATANTCAGCCCAAAAAAAAAAATTAGTGTCAAAATATATAAACACTAATTAGTATCCATTAATCATTAGTGACGAAATATTTTGTTGTCACTAATATATTTAGTGACAATTTCAAACTTTCGTCCCTAATTATGATAAAATTTTATTGCCACTAAATTATCGGTGGTAGTGACAATGTTTTGATTGTCACTAACAATTTTTGCTTACTTTTAATGTCTAACTTTATAATCGTCACTAAAGACTTGTTCAATGACAATACTTTTTTATTGTCACTATAAAATTTCAAAGTACTTTTGTGATACATTTTGTAACAGTCACTAAAAAACTCAACAGCGACGACTTTAGTGGTTGTCACTTACATAATAATTTGTAACAGTTGTCATAAACCCTGTATAAAATTGACCTGTAATTAAAATATCCTAATNGGTTGTCACTCACATAATAATTTATAACAGCTTTCATAAACACTGTATAAAATTGACCTGTAATTAAAATACCATAATATTTCAATATCATTCGAAACAAATCAAAATTCAATCATAGTTTAATTATAAAATAAAAAACTTATGAAATTATCATAAAATTTTAAACAATCCAACAAATACTTCAAAAAAAAATAGCAGTAAATTTTTTTTTTCTGAAGCAACAAAATAAAAAATAAACAATAAACTGTTCGTCTTTATTCCTTCCATAATCATGAGAAGATCTAAAGCAAACTTCATGACGGAAAAAAAAATGCACGCAGGACTTTCAGATTAATTCTGGTCCTTTGAACGCNAAGATCTAAAGCAAACTTCATGACGGAAAAAAAAATGCACGCAGGACTTTCAGATTAATTCTGGTCCTTTGAACGCGATCTTCTATTCTCATAAAGATGTCACAAAGATAACTACCTTGACAAAAATTAAACACTATAATAACTGTCACAACTTTTTAATTTTAAATCATATAAAATAGTAAATGCTTGGGGAAAAATGTCATCATAAAAATATAGGCATGGTAATGTCTAAATCTTATTTTCAAACTTTNTCCCACGTAAGCAAACGCCGCCACATAAATTAGGTTAACGAGAAAAGAATATATTATTTATGACTTAGTTAGGTTAACGAGAAAAGAATTTATTGCACTTTGCACTTTTCAGNATGTCTAAATCTTATTTTCAGACTTCTCTTCACTCTATGCAACATAAGAAATAAAACTCCAACACTTATCATCAAAGGTTTAGACTGAGTGGTAATCAACCAAACGGTCCTTCTAATATCTAATAACAATATATTGCACTTTGCACTTTGCACTCTTACAAAATGTATTGTAGCATTTTTAGCATTGTCTTTATGCCACCTCATATCACAAGCAATGTTCTTATTTATAAACAACCCTAGTAGTCTTGGCTTTAATGGAAAATAACGCAATACCTTTTGAGGTATCTTCTTAGATCTTTCAAACTTCCATTTAGTGCTTCCACATTTTGGACACTTATCCAAATCCTTATAATCCTTCCAAAAGATTGCAGAATCATTCACGCAAGCATCTATCTTCACATTGTTACGGCCCAAGTCACGAATTACCTTTTTTGACTCATAATAATACTTAGGAAATGTATCACACATTGGAAAGACATCTTTCAATATTTCAAGCAGCATGTCGAAACACTTATTGCTCATGCGATAGGTCATTTTTAAATGAAGCAGGTTCACAAAAAAAGACAACTTAGAAAACTTCTTGCATCCTGGATAAAGCTCTTGCTCTGCGTCATTCAACAATTTAAGAAATATATCTACTTCTCCTTCTTCCACATGAACACCCTGTTGAATAGATTCTTCTCTAACCCCCCAATTGTCCCCAAAATGACCAGTGGCAATATCATCTATCATACCATGCATATCATCAACTTCATTACCTTGCTCGCAGTTCTCCCCAACACCCTCATCATTAGCAAAATTGTTTTCAAAATCTTCCCCGTGATATATCCACCTAACATAACTCTTAACTATCCCTTGCATCAATAAATGTCTTTCAACAACTTCTCGAGTGTGGTCACAGAAGTTGTTACACTTCATACAAGGACATGAGATGTTACTATGTAGTTCTTTACGGGCATATGCAAACTGGAGGAATTCTTTCACTCCCAATTAGAAAGTATGGTGCAATCTATTATTTTGCTGCATCCAATTACTATCCATACTTGTGTTCGACACAATGAACAAATTCAATGCTGCAACAAACTATCCAATTGACCTCAACTCATTAGACGAAAAAAATGGTTCAAATAAAAGAACTGATTAACTAAATTAGTTGGTTGAGAATGTAAGAACACCAAAACAACGGTTCTATTCATGATAATAATAACAATTTTACCCTTTCTTATGAAAACAATGAAATTTCTAACAACTGGCCATCAATTTTGAAAAACAAAAGAAGCGACAATGAAGCACTAATAAAAAATAGCACTAGTGAAGACAAAACAAAATCTTCAAGTCAGAGTTTCCAAATTTACTAGTCTTAGAGAATGATTTGGTATCTTGTCACATATATTTCAATGTTATATGACTTTTCTGATGCTCTCAAGCACAATCAAATCAAACTTTTTTGATCACCTTATAGTTGATAGGTGATTTCTAAGACAAATCAAGTATGTCCTATTTCAAACTCTAAATCTATTGACTAGCTTTTGTATCGTTGTTGCTGATTGATTTATCATTAATGTTACTAATATTTGTAAGTTATGGGAAAAATGGTATGTGATTTTAATATATAATATTTTGTATTCAATGCAATTTGCACTAACTAGTATATATATAAAATAAAGTAAAATTATTTTGAATCTAAGAAATAAAGAGTGATTTAATTTGTTTCATGATTAAAAAAAAGGTATCATTCAAAGGCTGGCGCTATTCTAAACTCAATTATATTTGACGTATCACGTTAACTCTTAAAAGTAGATTGTAGTACCAAACACTAATCATGCGTGGAAAAAGTGAAAGAACATTGTCCTAAAAGTCCAGATAAACCTTGTAACATTCCATCTCTCTCCATGCATCTCCACCAGCCATCGTCTCTTCTACGAACCATGACAGGTACTTCTCTCTTCTCTCTTCTCTCTTTGGCTCTTCTCTGTCACTGTCTCTCTCTCTCTCTCATTCCCCAATCTAGACTCCATCCACACCACCAGCCCCTAGCGAATTATCCCCAGCAGTCCCCCAGTCCAGGTATAACTCCTCTCTCTCTCTCTCTCTCCCTCTAGCCCACTGCCCATCACCGCCTTTCCATTGCCATTCACCACTGTTTTCCACAACCACAACCCCCTTTCCTCTTCTCCACCACAACCACCACCTCAACCCCTCTCTGTTCTCCCTATCGACCAAATCAATCCACAACCACCAAGTGTTCGACAAAAATTCTCAAACACCATCCTATACAATTCTCTCTCTCATTTTTTCTCTTTCGCCACCCATC